TGAATAAGCTCTTTCTTTTTGTTCTAAGATATAAGAGTTGTTTAATTAGTAAAATTTTAAGATAACATGAATAGAAGAGTTTTTATATTTAATAAAAATATTTCAGTGAATAAGAGGTCCAAAGATATATAACTAGGCCGCCTAAGTGTAAAATTATATTAGGAACAACTATACTTAGGCATCCAAGAGTAGTTTACTTAATAAAATATTGAATAATAATCAAATGTTTGCAGCAGAGTTTGGTACAAATAATCGTCAGAAAGAGTTAATAATTTGTGTTCTTCAATAGTAATTTCTTAAAAATCAAGTATATAGTAACTTATTAATAGTATTACTATATATTTATATTAAGTTAATATATGCTTGACTTTCAAGTAATTGAATAGGTCTACTACAATGCTTTACTAAATAAATTACCTCATTTTATATATATCTTCATTTGACATTATTAATATCTGAATAGAATAACTGGAATAATGAAAATTAATAGAATTGGAGTAAGTAATCTAATAATATATTATTGCTATAATGTTTAATTGAAGGATTTTTAATAACTACCTTGTTTATATATTTGTTGTAGAAGACTAGAATAATAAAAATTAATAAAACTGGAATAAGTAATCTAATAATATATTATCACTATAACATTTAATTGAAAGATTTCTAATAATTTACCTTGTTTATATATTTGATGTGGAACACTAGAATAACTAGAAAAATGGAACTAGAGTAATTAATTCAATAATATATTATTTCTATAACATTTAATCAAAGAATTCTAATAATCACCTTGTTTATATATTTAATGACTAGAATAACTGGAAAACTGGAACTGGAATAATTGAATTAATAGAATTGATGTAAGCAATCTAATAATATATTATTACTGTAAAGTTTAATTAAAGAATTTCTAATAACCACCTTGTTTATATATTTGATAGCTGGAATGACTGGAGCTGGAGTAAGTAATCTAATGATATATTATTACTATAACATTTTGTTGAAGAATTTCTAATAACCCACCTTGTTTAACATGTTTGATGGTTGGAACACTGAAACTACTAGAACCGGGAACACTGAAATACCAGAATAACTAGAACACTGGAACTGGAATGACTGGAATACTGAAACTGGAATAATTGGAATTAATAAAACTAGAGTAAGTAATCTAATAATACATTGTCATTGTAATATTTAATTGAAGGATTTCTAATAACCCATCTTGCTTAATATGTTTAATAGTTGGAATGACTAGAATGACTAGAATGCCAGAATACTAGAACTCTGGAATGACTGGAATGCCAGAACACTGGAACGACTGAAACTAAATAAGTAATATAATATATTATTGCTATAACATTTAATTAAAGGATCAAAAACCCACCTTGTTTTATATATTTGATGACTGGAATGACTGAACACTGGAATACCTAATATGATTGAAACTGAAGTAATCTAATAATATATTATTGCTATAACATATAATCAAAGAATTTCTAATAACCCACCTTGCTTAATTCGTTTACATCTAAGCACCAAATAAAATGCAAATATAACTCTCAACTTCTCACTTTACATACAAGTGTTTTATTACAGCAGTATTGTTAAGGAAAGAATCACCAGTGTAGTATAAAACTAAAGTCCAACATACTGAATATAAAACAAATTCTTTAGAGTATGTAAGTGTGAACTTTAGATTAGATTTGATAAAAGATTACCATTTTATCTATTTTTTCTGTTATATGCATATGGACTATTATGTCATATGTTACATATATTGTAAAACTATATATAGTATAGTATAGGCTACATATAGTCATAGGCTATATCTAAATTGATTTTTAAAAGTATTATTATTTAATAATTGTATATAAATTAAAATTTTTACTAAATTTATAGTAATTTTAACTATAGTTTTCTCAATAACTACTTATCCCAATTAAATAAAATTTTAAATATTATTAGTTATTATATATGTCTATAATATATTTAAATTTTAACAAATTTGAATTATTATATTTTGAGAAATTATAAAACATCTATAAATAATTTAATTTTAAAAATTGGTTATAATTTTTAACTAATTACTTAAAAACTACTAATTCAAATTAAATAAAATTTTAATATATTGTTACTCTA